CTAACTCATAATTGCAATTGTTGATTTTTTAGTTTTTCAATATTTTAAAAATATTTAAAATGTATTTAATATATATTTAATTAATATTTTATATAATTTTTAAAATAAAAAAAAACTATAAAAATTAAAAATTAAAGTATAAAAAAACATTATCCAATAAAACCTTATTTTTTCTTCAAAATCAAAACACATGATGCAATGATTAGAAAATTTAAGAAATATTATCCCATCACAAGAGAGGAAAAGGAAAATTTTCACCATTGGAAAAATGTAAGTTTGAAGACAAGAGAGGGTGTTTTCCTTATTTTTTTTGTTTTTTATTTTATTTTTTGTATTTTAATCTAAAAAAAAAAAAACAATAGGAGTGGAAGAAAATAGGAGGAAATTCCCCTTCTTATCCTCTAAGTTTCCCTCAAAATAAAACCAAAGGGAACTATTACTCGTACTCGAAACCAAACCGAATTGCAGTTGGAGCAAATCGACTTAATAACAGATTTCCATAACAAAAGGCAATATTAGACGCAGCTCTTTGCGCAAATTTGAGAGATCTTCTCGATCGTGGACACAATCTTTTTGTGAGATAGGATCCATTAGACCGGTTATAATGTTAGTTACTGAAAATTAAGAAGAACATGTCTCAGTATCTTAATTTCCTTTTTCAATTTTAACATTCAGTAAGCACCAAACTAGTTCACTTTTATCTTCTAAGCCGGTTATGGAGTGATGGGTTTTAAGCAGTACAATCCACACAAGACAGAGTGCACTTTTCTATATAATTAATTACTAGTTTACCACCAGCAGCTGAGTTTAGAGAGTAAGTGGTGCACAAACTCTGCTCATATGTGGTACACAAACTTTGCTAATATGAGCTTAGACCCAAGGATTAGATCCACTGAAAAACAAACATGATTTTACAAACTTGGTTCTTGATCTCATCATCAGAATGCTTTGTTAAACTGTAACAATTGAGCATTTGTAATTTGTAAAAGCTCCAGCTCAAGTACCCTTTCATGGGGAAATAGATCATGTCTCATATTAACATTAAATTTTTTTGGTATTAACCTCCCAATATCTGGTAATCAAATTGGATCTCAATTAATCTGGAATCGAGACGCGATTTTAGTAAGAGAAAATTCTCCCAACGCTTATTTCTCTATTTATAAATAAGATTCAAACTCGATACCTTATTTAAGAGAAACTGAACCCTTTCCACTCAAATCAACATGTCGTTAGTCATATTAAAATTAAATTGGCAAAACATATTATACCACAAAAAAAAAAAAAAAGATTAATTTTACAACTATCAAAAATTACTATAGCAATTAATCTAATAATAAGCGTCTTTCCTTGATGAGAAATATCATACATAGTTATAAATAGAAGGTATCCATCCCCTTTCTTATCCCATTCTTTGTTGCAAAATTCCAATGCTCTCTGATATGATGAGCCATCAAAGTTAACTTTCAAGTTCTATTCCATCACACCTAAAGAAATCGAGAAAGTTAAGGAAAGATAAGTCACGCGATACTGGCGTGGCTCAATCCAACCAAAGAGTCTATATTATGATCGACCCTATGGTGAGGTTGAACCGTGCCAATATCTCGAGTAGAAGAAAAGTGCGCCCCCACCTATAATGCACCATCATTCACGAGTCAAAATGTTCGATTTATACTGTGAAAACGTTTGTTCTTTGTTGTAGATATTGCCAAGGAGAACTCTCCAAGGAAAGTTGCTTCGTCTTCTTAGGACTCTCCGGCTGCCTTCTACAATTTAAGATTAGCCGGCTGTCATTTTTCGGCGATCAATACTGTACCATTTGATTGTAAGTATCGACGCATGTGCAAAGAAACTTGGTGAAACCTTGCTGATTTGACCAAATTAAGGGCATATTTGGCAGAATATTTAAGCAAACTTGCTTAAAAACAAAATTTTAAATTTGTCGCATATGGAAAATTTTTAATTAGACTTGTTTTTTCATATATATATATATATATATATTAATTTTTCAGTATCTAATAATCATATTAATTTTTTATTAATTTAAAATCAAATCGTGTTGAATCTCATATGGAAAAACTCTTTCAACACCTGTTTCTTTATTCATAATATTTGAACTTAAAATCTTATTTTAAAAAAATTAAATTCCTTTCACTCGAACTAACAATTAGTTAATTGAATTAGACTTGTGGTTTATAAGTAAGTTTTTAAAAAACTCACGCAATTAACTTTTTTTAAATAAAGATATTAACTTTACATTTTATTTTATTTAAGAATGTTTTTGTATTTTATTCTATTTAAAAATGTTAATTTTGTTACTTTCAAAATAAAAATGTTAACTTTTAATTTTCTTTTATTTAAAGATATTAATTTTTAATTTTTTTAATTTAAAAATATCAACTTTTAATTTTTTTTATTTAAAAATTAATTAGATAATAATGCTAATATGACAAATGAATTTTTTAACTAAAATCTTAAAAATGACATCTTTAAATAAAAAAATCAAAATTATATCTTTAAATAAAAAAATTAAAAGTTAATATCATTATTTAAAAATTAACAAAATTAACCTTCTTAAATTAAAAAAAAAAAAAAAGAGAAGCAAAATTAACATCTTTATTTATCTCAACTTTCAATTCTAAAAATGCCCCTTGGTGGTGCCAGAAAAAGCCAGTCGGTACAGTTTAATTTCAGTTCATTTGCCTTACACTCCGAACTACAAAAAACCAATAGTTGGATAGAGTCGTCTTCACTCATTATCAAGGAGCCTCTCCTCATCAAATGATTTATGTCTTGTAATCCAGTGCAATTTCGACCACAAAACTACTTTTTGTTTGGTTTATACCTGATAAATCTCTCTCTGCACTGCATGTAACCACAAGCCCATATGAAAGAGGTGTCGTCTTCGTCTCACGTGAAAAAAGATGACCAACAACATCGTGGGAAGCACCAAACTCGACTGCAAACAGCAACCCTACACCGCGAAAAGGTGCTCCCCAGCAACAGGCCATACCATAATAACAGAATGCTCGTAAATGATTAAACACAACATTTATGCACAAATAAACGCACCATATGCAAAACCCATTTCATTTAAAAATTAATCACATAATATATCTAATATAACCTCGTATTAAAAAACTCTCTGCCAAATCTGCAGTAACAACTAACAACGTAAAAATTGTCTTTTCAGTGTTAAGATTTTTGTAAAGATCTATGATTTGAATGCGCCTAGCACATGCTGTTGAATGGGAAAAACAATGCATCAGATAATGAAGATCTAGTAACTCCTGCCCCAGTACGTCCACTTCTTCGCAGGCTTACCCGAAACAAAGCATTTAGTGCC